GTGGGGGGGGGGGGGAGAGGAAGCACTGGAATGGGTTCCCTAGGGAGTGGGTGGAATCTCCATCCTTAGAGGTTTTTAAGTCCCAGCTTGACCAAGCCGTGGCTGGGATGATTTAGTTGGGGTTGGTCCTGCTTTGGGCAGGAGGCTGGATGTGATGAACCCTGGGATTCTATGAAGAAAAGATATATTGGCATTGGAAAAGATTCACAAAAGGGGGACAAAAATGATTAGGGTTTTGGAATGGCTGCCATATGAGGAGAGAGTAAAAAAACTGGAACTTTTCAGCTAAAAAAGAGGGACTGAGGGGGGATATGATAGAGGTCTATAGAATCATGACTGTTGTTGAGAAAGTAAATAAGGAAAAGTTATTTACTTATTTCCGTAACACTAGAATTAGGGGGTCACCAAATGAAATTAATAGGTAGCACGTTTAAATACAACAAAAAGAAGTATTTCTTTACACAATGCATAGGCAACCTGTGGAACTCCTTGCCAGGATGTTATGAAGGCTAGGATTTTAACTGGGTGGGTTAATTCATGGTGGTTTAGTCCATCAATGACCAGGATGAGCCGGAATGGTATGCCCCGAGCATCTCCAGGGAGTGCAGCTAAGCTCCTAGCTCCTGATGATTCTTGCTACCATGCTTTGGAGCCACTAGCACCATGGTGGCTACTTATGCTGGGGAAACCCTCGCGCTGGCCAACGATTCACTTTGGGAGCTCGGAGCCCCTTTTCTTGAGCCGTTCTGTGGGTCACTCAGAATAGCACCTAGTGGAGTTTCATAACAAACAGGTATAATTCAACAGAGATTGAGGTCCCTGTTCAAGAGGGACCCAGGTGCTGAGTTGAGGGGCACTGGCAGGCCTGTGTGTGGGGAGGGGCAGCTGGCACACCCCTCCGGTACTGGAACTGACAGGGGTATCAGCACTTCACTGTCTTCAGCACAAAAACGCTACACTCTGGGAGAAAAAAATCTTGATCCGCAGCCTCAATCGGAAAAATACGTGGTTAAATCCCAAGTAATCTCTACATTCATTAATTTCATATTTGATTAGTTTGTACAGAATTATCTTGAAAGTTACTCACCTATAATGGCTGCTTTACAAACTGCTGTCATTAAAGCTCTAAGGAATGTAGGTGAACTCATCTCGCTTTCATCTAGATTAGCCTGAAATCAAGAGTAAATAGATCTGTTAAGAACACTCAGAAGCTGTTGCCAAAATCCACTGCTGAATTTGGCACTGTGTGAAAGTTGCTGCCATAGGAATCTAGTTCAGACCTTCAGTAAAAATTCACCCCATCTTGAAAACAGACCCCATCTAATTTAGACCTATCACTTTGTATATGTAATTGGGATTATTTTTTCCGGTGCTCATTACTTGGAATTTTATTTACTGTGTAATCATTCAGTTTAGAGAGATCCCTTTGTAACTTTTCAGAGTCAGCCTTGGACATAACTATCTTGAGTAATTTTATGTCACGTGAATATTTTTCCACCTTACTAGTTACTCCATTTTCAAGACCATTTATGAATATGTTGAAAAGCACAGGTCTGAGTAAAGAACTTTGGGGGATCCCACGATAAACCTCTTTCTTTTAACCAGTTACTGATCTTTGAGTGGACTTTCCCTCTTATACCATGACTGCTCACTTTGTCAAAAGATTTCTGAAAGTCCAATTACACCTTATTGTCTGGATCATCCTTATCTACATGGTTAAACAATTCTGGGGAGACAGCTCAGTGGTTCGAGCATTGGCCTGCTAAACCTATGGTTGTGAGTTCAATCCCTGAAGGGACCATTTGGGGCAAATCTGTCAGGGATGGTACTTAGCTCTCCTGGGAGTGGAGGGGACCAGGCTCCATGACCTCTTCAGGTCCCTTCCAGCTCTATGAGATGGTCTCTCTCTCTCTCTATACATATATTTTATTTATATAATACATTGAGAAGCAGGATTTCTCTTTACAAAAGCTATGTTGACTCTTCTGCAACATTTGTTCATCTGTGTGCCTGATAATTTTGTTCTTTATTTTAAATTCAACCTTTTTGCCTAGTACTGAAGTGAACTTACCGGCTTCAGTTGCCAGTATTGCTTCTGGACCCCGCTTTTAAAAATAGATGTTACGTTAGCTACCCTCCAGTCATCTGGTACAGAATATGATTTAAGTAATAGGTTACATGCCATGCTTAGTATTTCTGCAACTTTACATACGAGTCCCTTCAAAACTCTTACATGAATGCCATCTGGTCCCGGTGACTTCTTATTGTTGAGCAATTTATTTCAAAAGCTCCTTTACTGACACCTCAAATCAGGGATAGCGTCTCAGATTTGTCACCTAAAAAGCATTGCTCAGATCTCCCCACATCCTCTGACGTGAAGACTAATGCAAAAACATCACTTAGCTTCTCTGCAATGGCTTTGTCGAGTGCTCCTTTAGCACCCTGATCAGCCAGTGGGTCTTCCCCTCCTCCCACTGTCTGTCTGGCAGGTTTCCTACTTCCGATGTACAGTAAAACTCCAATAGTCCGGCATCCAGTTGTCCGGCACTCCTGATAGTCCGGCATCAATGGAATCCGGAACTGCTCAGGTCAGCCACTCTCACGGCCGGGCTGCTGTGAGCCACACGTGCGCTCACAGCCCGTGCTGTTCTGCTCAGTCCCCAGTGTGCACAGCATCCAGCCTGCATATGCTAGCAGCCGGCCGCTGAGCACAGGCAGCTGCTTTGGGACCCAGACATGAGGTTGGGGGAGAAGAGGGATTGGGTGACAGCAGGGAGGGGAGGTGTTTGGCTCTGGGATGGGAAGGGGATTGGGTTGCGCACGGTGTCCCGGCCAGCTCACTGAAAAGCCGGCCACTCAGCGCATGTGCCCCAGAGCCTGGAGGAAGATGCATGGCTGTACCGGTGATTCCAGGACCCGAGCACAAGGTGGGGGGAAGGGAGGGGAGATTGGGTTGGGAGTATGCCCCTTTATAGTACCTCCTGGTACTCCGGCATATCCGATAATCCGGCACCACCTAGGTGGTTCCAAAGGTGCTGGATTATCGGAAGTCTACTGTACTTACATTTTTGCTGTTCATTTATGTGTCCTAAACTAGCTGCTCTTCAAATTCTTTCTCCAACTATTTTATCATATTTTTTACACTTGGCTGCCAGTTTATGCTCCTTTCTATTTTACCTCACTAGGATCTTACTTCCAATTTAAGAATATAAGAACGGCCAGACTGGGTCAGACCAAAGGTCCATCCAGCCCAGCGTCCTGTATGCCAACAGTGACCAATGCCAGATGTCCCAGAGGCAATGAACAGAACAGGGAACCATTAAGTAAGTGATCCCTCTCCTGTCATCCATTTCTAGCCTCTGACAAAGAGAGGTGAGGGACACCACCTCTCCCCATCTTGGCTAATAGCCATTGATGAACCTCACCTACATTAATTTATGTAGTTCTTCTTTGAACTGTGTTAAAGTCCCGGTCTTCACAATATCCTCTGGCAAAGAGTTCCACAAGTTGACTATGTGAAGAAAAACTTCCTCTTGTGCGTTTAAAACCTGCTACCTATTAATTTCATTTGGTGATCCCTAGTTCTTATGTTATAACTTTTCTTTATTCACTTTCTCCATGCCTGTCATGATTTTATATACCTCTATCATATCCCCCGTAGTCTCCTGTTTTTTAAGCTGAAAAATCCCAGTCTTGTTAATCTATCATATGGGACCCGTTCCAAACCCCTAATCATTTTTGTTGCCCTTTTCTGAACCTTTTCCAATGCCAATACATCTTTTTTGAGGCGACCACACCTTTACGCAGTATTCAAGATGTGGGCATATCATGGATTTATATAGAGGCAATAAGATATTCTCTGTCTTATTCTCTATCTCTTTTTAAAGAATTCCTAACACTCTGTTTGCTTTTTTGATGGCCGCTGCACACTGAGTGGATGTTTTCAGAGAACTATCCACAATGACGCCAAGATCTCTCTCTTGAGTAGTTACAGCTAAATTAGTCCCCATCATTTTGTATATATAGTTGGGACTATTGTTTTCAATGTGCATTACTTTACATTTATCAACATTAACATTCATTTGCCATTTTGTTTCCCAGTCACCTAGTTTTGTGAGATACTTTTGAAGATCTTTACAGTCTGCTTTGTTCTTAATTATCTGCAGTTTAGTATCATCTGCAAATTTTGCTACCTCACTGTTTACACCTTTCTCCAGAGCATTTATAAATAGATTGATTGGATTGGTCCCAGTGCAGACAACAGTAGTTACCTCCGTCCATTCTGAAAACTTACCATTTATTCCTACCCTTTGTTTCCTGTCTTTTAACCAGTTATCTATCCATGAGAGGATCTTCCCTCTTCTCCCATGACAAGTTACTTTGCTTTAAGAGCTTTTTGTGAGGGACTGTGTCAAAGGATCTCTGGAAATCTAAGTACACTGCATCCACTGGATCCTCCTTGTCCACATGCCTGATGACCACCCCAAAAAACTCTAGTAGATAATTTTTAAAGGATGCCTTTTTGTCTTTAGCCACCTGGCTTACTTGGCTCTTTAGCCATCATAGAATATTTGTGTGTGTGTGTGTGTGTGTGTGTGCGCGCACACGCACGTGTAGGTGGGGGGGAGAGAAATATATCTTTAGTGTGAGCCCCTCTTTTGGTAGTTTTTCAATAGTCTCCTTGCAATCTGCAGGCATTGCACTTTTGTGACTGTTCCTTCTAATTTCCAGTTAACTAGTTTCCTATTTTTTTTCTCTGCTCTGAAATTAAACACTACTGTGTTAAACTGCTAACAAAGATGTTAAATCTGTATTATGAATACTTTTACCGAGCTATTCAGCTACCATAGCCTAAGCTTTGCATAGGACTAAATCAAGAATTGCTTCTCTGTTTCTGGGTTCCAGTCAAGCTGCTCCAAGAGGTAGTTATTTATGGTGTCTACACATTTTATTTCCACATCCCTTCCCGAGGTGACATATACCCAGTTAATATGGTGATAGCTGAAATCTTCCCTTCCTATTATGTTTTCTGCCTTTGCAGCCTTTCTAATCTTGTTCAGCATTTTACCATCAACATCCGGGTCAAGTGGCCATAGTATATTTCTAGGTGTACTCTTTGACCAGGTCTAAACTGTGGGGGGAAGGCTGGCTTACGGTATGCAACTCCAGCTATGTAAATAATGTAGCTGGAGTAAAAATACCTTAAGTTGAGCTTGGTGCCGTCTCCACAGTGGGAGATCGATGGGATAATTGCTTCCATCAACTTCCCTTACTCCTCGCAACAGCAAGGAGTACTGGCAAAGACTGGGATGCCATCAGCATTTGATTTACTGGGTCTTTACTAGACCACTAAATTGAACCTCGAAAGATTGATTGACAGAGAATCCTCCGGTAAGTGGAGACATGGCCTTATTAAACAAACAGGGCATTTCTAGCCATAAAGATTCTATGGGACAGTTTGATTCATTTAAAATTTTTACTATATTTGGCTCTGATTTCTTTACATATACTGCCACTCCCCCACCAGCAAAACCAACTGTGTCATTTCTCTATATTTTGTACCCTGGTATTACTGTCTCTCATTAATTATCATCATTCCACCAAGTTTCCATGATGCCCATTATACCAATAGGACAAATCTGGTTTAGCATAATTTCAGACACAGAGGTTAAAATCTGGTTTAAAGGTTGTGTTAGAGAAGAGACAGTGGGTGGGTGGGTGGAAGCTTTTATACTGTTGATTCGAACATCCTGGAACAGAGTGGTGTGTGTACACACAGACACAGACACACATCACTAGTAGGAAACTGTTTAAAAAGATTCCACTGTTGCATGAGAGGTCAAACAATCTCCTAATGGATCACAGATAATGAAGAACCAGTTTCACCCAATTTGGGACAGAGATTGTTATAGTGCATCTGGTTTAAATGTCATTGCTAATTGAACAGGCCATTATCAGATGTGTTAACCTTCACATTAAAAAACCAACAGAACTTTAGAGAAGTTTACATTTTCTTCCTGAAAAATATATTCTTTATCTCTATGCAAATGCTGATTTTACAATTGTATCTGTATCTTGCCCCACTGGGCTTAGAACAGAGTTAAAATTGAAATGGCCATTTTCAGTGTACTGAATCTAACTGTTCCAGAACGTCTGTTGGGAAAGTGCATAAAATGACAGGCCATAGTGTGGATGCTTTTTGGAAATGTAACAATCTTGTGAAGTGAAGGATGCAGAGTGGTCAACAGTACAAATAATATGTGCCTTGTCCAGAGAGGAAGTGCTGGTAGTTCTGAACACTTCTGCTTGGTTTTGTGGAGTCTGAAAGCCAGGCAGCAACAGAGGAGTTATTCTGTGACAGAGACTAGATCTTGTAGCTAGCACTTGGCTTTTTATCTGAAGGGCCAATATCAGACTGGGGTGAGCAGTGCAGGAGAGCAAAACAAAGAAATGTCAAAAGTTAGAGGGAGTGGACTCTAAAGATGGTTAATGCACTGTGCACAAAGAAGGTGAAATCAGACTTTATACCTCTACCCAATCAAAGATTTGTTCATCATTCGCCTTGTCATCAATAATGAGTTTTTCTAGCTGTTTGTTTAGCTCATCGGCAGAGAGTTCTTCCTCTGAAAGTGCTTCGGAGGAACTGGAACAGTCAGACACTGTGAAGTCTAAGCTCTGCAACGAGAAGTTATGGGAAATGATTAAATGTGCTTTTTTACACTGACTCATGTGAAGGCAAAATAACAAGCAACACTTTGGTCTGTTTTATCATTATAATGACACATGTCCTACTATTCACTCTGAAGAATCATAGAACAATTTACAAACGAGACACTGACCTACAATCTATTCTGAGGGATCACTTCATCCAGCCAGGAAATGCAGTCACCTTTGAGGAAAAAAGTGGCACAGTGCAACACTGTACTACACTTTAACCCATGAAGTTGTCTAATTGAAACGACAGGGAGCCAGAACTGAAATTTGGTCAGGAAGCTATGGCTAATACACTACTTTTGCAAAATGTAACATAAGATCTATAATGATCACTAGTTCCCAGATCTTGGTTTTACAAACCCCGTTCAGTCAACCTGTGGAACTCCTTGCCAGAGGATGTTGTGAAGACTAGGAATTTAACAGGAGAGCTTGATAAATTCATGGAGGTTAGGTCCATTAATGGCTATTAGCCAGAATGGTTAGGAATGGTATCCCTAGCCTCTGTTTGTCTGGAAATGGATGACAAGAGAGAGATCACGTGATGATTACCTGTTGTGTTTACTCCCTCTGGGGCATCTGGCATTGGCCACTGTTAGCAGACAGAATACTGGGCTGGATGGACCTGTGGTCTGACCCAGTATGGCCTTTTTTATGTTCTTATGTACCGACTCAAGGGAAAAGTGTCCTTTTTTAATCACCCACATCACTTTCAAGCATTCCTTTGGTGTCTTCCATCTAATGTACTGACCAAAGCTAATCTGACTGACTGGAGTACCTCATCTTCATGTTCCATTTTGACACTATTTAGGGATGGAACTGAAATGAACAACTAGGACTCACATTAAAAACGAAAAATAAAATAAAATGCAAACCAACGGGCCAAATATATGCTACAAAACAGATACCTCAGAGGGCTCTTCTCTAACTAAAATTTGCTTTCAACTCACCTGCTCAATGAGAAAGGTATTTACATCCTCCCCTTCAGGTAAATAGTCCTTCCAACTGAGGCCAGCCTCCCTCCATAAGGCTCCTACTTTCTTATGGCTCTAAAACACAAAGCAGTTTGTTAATGTTTTTAAATCTGAAGAGAAAAGCACAGGAGCTTAAACAGGAAAGGTGCTGCTGCATAAAGAGAAATACATAATCATTTAGCCATCAAAAATATGTCTAGCCATGATGTGAAAACTTCCAGAAAACCTGTGCTGGAAAAGTGATATATAATATCCTACCTTTTACAGATAAATGTTGTATCTTGTAAGATGCTCAGATGCCACAATGGTGTGTAATAAATATGGCTGGCTTGATGTGATATATGGAGTTTGCAACAACATGACCAAAGATCATCTACAATAAAGTGATCATATGTAAAAGTGTGGTCCAGTGGATATGATACAGAACTGGGACTCAAATGATCTGGGTATTACTCCTGGCTCTGCCACTAACTTGCTGTGCTCTAGTCAAATTTTACTTATCTTTCTGTCCCTCTCTAAATGAATAAAGTTAGAGCATGTTCACTTTAGAAAAATCATGTTTACATGGCTATGTATGTAGATCAGTCCTTCAAAGCAGGAGTGACATCAAAGTCACAGATTAAATCCTACAAGTCATTGTAAATCTATGGAAAATTACCTCTATAACCATATGTGGTATAATCTTCTGCATCTAGCAGTCCAGTAGACTTCATGCCTGACCTTTCAGAATTCCCCAAAATGTTGATACATATAATAAACAGTACCGAAGATAATGATAGTAACTAAGCTCTTCTTTAGTGCTTTCCATCCAAGAATCTACAAACTCTGCAAATATTAATGAATTAAGCTTCACAAAACATTTGGTAGAGTATTATTATCATCCTCATTTTACTGATGGGTTATTGGGTGTCTAAAGTATAGACCTCAAGATAAATGTGGCCTGATTTTCAGAGGCAGATTATAGAAGTCATTGGGATCTGCTTGTCCTCAGTATTTTTGTGACTCAAGCCTAAGATTTAGGTGACCAAATATGACGTTGGATTCCTGACGTTGGGCATTCAACTTTGAAACTTTTGACACACGTGACTTACCTAAGGTTACAACAGAAGTCTGGCAGAGCTAAAAATAGAACCCAGATCTTCTGACTTTAGGCCTGTACTTTGACCATGAGATCAAGGCTACTTTTCCTGCTCTTCTCCCACATGTTATAGAGAAAATAGCAATCCACAGTCCAAACAAGCAGCAAACGACTAATTTAAAAAAAAATCAAATACTAGCTTCTCGTTACATTAAGGAGCTGTTGCATGGAAAAACTTCTGGAACAACTGACCTCGTCTGAGTGCATGCTTTGAAAAGGAGGTGAGAAATTTTATAGGGTTAACTTACAGAAGTTGCACGGTGAATATGTATCTCTGTTCTCAGAGTTGCGTTGCTCATGTCCATTTCACAAAACTTCATGTGCTTGGTGCTGGAAGTTTTCCCCTCTGCTGTACCCAAAAGGGAGCAGCCCTAACGACTCCTGGAGTGGCGCCTCCATGGCATGGTATGAGAGGTGCTGCGTGCTTGGGACGGGGTGTGGTCACGAAGACTCCTTGGAACAGTTCCCCAGTGTGCTGATCATGCCTCTGAAACACCTTCTTGCTCTCTGGGGCTCCCCGCGACCCTGCCATGCTGCACCAGATTCTCCCCCAGACAAGGCACAGAGATGGGTTCACCACTCCCTGCCCCTGCCCCAAACGGCAGTGCAGACACTGAACCACTTCAGCTCTGGGAAAATGCAGGTCTAGGGCAGAGCAGCCAGGAAACCCCAAAAATACATTTGTCTTTTTTTGTATAAAAGTTTTACACAATGAAAACTTCTTCAAGTAAGCCCCCTTTATCAATGAAAGGAGGATGTGCGCACTGATTCTTCCCCCCAGGTAACAATTATTTACACTGGGCTTGGTAGTCAATAAAAGTGCTTGTATCAAATGCAAACAGTAGAATTTAAGTGGTTGCAAGTGAAAACAGATACAAATAAGTTACAAAATGAAAAGGAAAAGGAAAAGGAAATGCACAGCTAGTTCTAATGCACCACAACTTACTGTACATGGTTCCTACCCTAAAAGTTGTTCATATTTCAGGCAACCCTTTCAGTCACAGATGACCTTTTACTCTGACTTGGGTCTTCAGTTGTCTTTGTTCCTAAGCCAGCCAAAGACAAACGGACTGATGCTTCCCCCTGCTTCAACAGACTTTTTCCTGGGAGGGAACCCTTTGCTCTCCATTCTCCCTTCCATGGAAAATTACCTGGCCAAAGTGGTATCCCAGTACAATGTGGTATGGTCACACATCTTCCTAGCACCAACCACTGCTTAGACTTACAGGGCAAACAAGGCTGTTTACAAGCCATTAAGTTGATCACCCAGTCGTTAAAACTTCTAGAGCACTACTGATGGCTCTCATTAACCCATTTAAAACCATAAAAAAATCTCATACTTCATATTTCTAAGTTTACATAAAAGAACGATCCATGCATCGAAATAAGCTATGCAGATTCTCAAATTGTAACATTAAAATTGAGAGGTTACATGAGGTATTTTCCTAGAATCACAGAGCTGGAAGAAGACCTCAGGACGTCATCAAGTCCAGCCCTTTGCCCAAAGCAGGAACAATTCCAACTAAATCAACCCAGCCAGGGCTTTGTCAAGCTGAGATTTTGTCCAAAGCATCTTTGAGTTATGCATATTTATATTCAATAGCCAATTTCATAAATCACGGGGGGACTGTTTCTCCTCCCTCGGTTCCTTCTTGCCAGACACTCCCACAGTGGGGAAGGAGGGTGGGATGTGGAATGGACATGAGCCACACATCTTGAACATCAGTTATGAAAATGTAACTGTATTTTCTTCTTTGAGCGCTTGCTCATGTCTATTCCACAACAGATGACTCCAACCAGTGCCCTTGGTGGAGATTAGGAGTTCAAGGCAGTTGACTGTAGCATAGCTCTGCGGAACCTGGTGTTGTGGTTGTGTGATGGTACAGTGAGACATCAACGTCGGCACTGGAGACCATGTTGCAGCCCTGCAGATATTGTGGATTGGTACATGCGCCAAAAAGGCCGCTGCTGAGGCTTAAGCCCTAGTTGAGTGCTCTTGGACTATGGGCAGTGGAGAAACCCTTGCAAACTTGTAATAGGTCTGGACACAGGCAGTGATCCAGTTTGAACGCTGCTGAGCAGACACTGGCAGGCCCTTCATTCTATCGGCGGTGGCCACAGAACTGTGTTGATCCGTGGAAGGCGTGGTGCACTCCAAGTAGAACACCAAGGCCCTCCTGACAGGTAGTGCATGGTGCTGGTGCTCTTCTACAGACCTATCAGACTTAGCAGAAGACTGGTAGGAATACGTCCTCATTAATGTGAGATGACCTTTGGTAAAAAGACTGGTTGCAGCTGCAGCTGGACCTTGTCCCTGTAGACAATTGCGTATGGGGGTTCCAAGGTCAGGGCTCTGATCTCCAAAACCCATCTTCCTGAAGCCACTGCCACCAGGAACATCACCTTCCAGGACAGCAGGAACCGAGGGGATCCAAGGCTGGTCTAGTGAGCCGGAAGCGGCCTAGGTAGAGGTCCCACTGTGGGATGGGATTCCAAACCTGGGGATAGGGCCTCTCAAAGCCCTTCAGGAATCTCACTGTCATGTCCTGGGAGAAGACCATTTGCCCTTGGATCAGCTTGTGAAAAGTGGAAATGGTGGCAAGCTGCGCTTGGAGAGAGGAGGGCGCCATCCCTTGGTTTCTAAGCTGCAGCAGGTAGTTAAGGATGGCCTGGACCAGGGCACGGCTTGGTGAGATACCGTGCTCTGCAGATAAAAAGGAGAACCGTGTCCATCTTGCCTGATACATTAGGCATGTACACGGCTTCCTGCTGTCAAGGAAAACTTGCTAGACCTCCTCCAAGCAGGTGCTCTCTTCCTCATTTAACTACAGAACATGTGTGCCGAAAAGGGCAGGGACACAAGACTGGGATGCAGAAGTTGACCTTGATGTTGTGACAATAGGTCCAGGCGATTCGCGAGGGACCAAGGTTGGTAGAGCACCATGCTCATGAGATCATGCTGATCCAGTGCTGGTGGGACCACACTGGAGTAATAAGCCTTGTCTCGTTTGACCCAATACCAAACCTGACTGATGAGAGGAATCAGGGAATGTGTACAGCAGGTCTTTGGACCACAGCAGGAGAAATGCATCTGAGAGGGAGCCCCTTCCCAACTCCCCGTGGGAGCAAAACCACTGGCATTTTTTTGTTATGCTCGGTGGTAAAAAGGCCCACATGAGGAGGGCGCCACCTTCAGAACATTGTGCCAGCCACGTCTGGGAGGAGCGACCACCCCTAGTGAGAAGAAAAGTCCCTACTGAGTTGATTTGCCAGAGCACTATTGATGCCCGGGAGATGACAGGCCTCCAGATGGATGTCGTGACTGATGCACAAGTCCCTGTGAGGAAGCACCTCCTAGCATACAGATGACAGACGACTATCCCGTAAGCCATTCCAGAAGCCACCACCTCCCTACCTTCAGGATATCCCTTATCCTGCCTTCCTAATACCAGAACCTGCTCCACCCTGGGATAACTGATGTCGGCCCCGTGGGGGATGGGACTCAAACTTAGCAGCCTGTGCTCCCCAGGTGAATGCCCTAGCTGCCTGTTGATGTAGAACATAGAGGCTGTATTATGCAGGAGGACTCTCAATACTTTGCCACATCAGGGAGGAAGACCTCACAGAGAACAGATTAGATAGACATCTGTCAGGGATGGTGTAGACGGAGCTTGGTCCTGCCTTGAGGGCGGGGGGCTGGACTCGATGACCTCTCGAGGTCCCTTCCAGTCCTATTATTCTATGATTCTATGAGTACAGAGATCATCAAGGACACCCCAACTGAGATCTGAGGCATCTGACCTTTGCTCACAAGAGAGAGCGGGGGCATCGAACATGCTGCAATATGGCTTGAAGATGCAGGCAGACTCTGGCCGTGGTCAGGGGAAACTTGGATACCTCTCCTATGAGGTTCATTAGGGCTCAGCATTTATCTAGGCACAGGAAGGCTCTTGCACAAGTTGAGTTGAGCACTGCCTCAATTAATTCTGGAATGGTATTACTGTGGACATTTTGGCACTGACTAGGAGTCCCAAGGACCGACAGCTCACCAGAAGGACCGCTCTGCTGTTTCGGACCTGCCCTTGATCAACTAGGTGTCGAGGTAAAGGTAAATCCGTATTCCCCAACATCTCAGTAGTGCCCTCCACTTGGTAAATATCCTTGGTGGCATAGCTACGCCAAAGGGAAATACCATAAACTGATAGTGGGAGGGTCCTATTGTAAAGTGGAAGAAGTGTCTGTGGCCAAGGAAAACTGCAATATGGAAATAAGCGTCCTTTGGGTCGAAGGTGTCATTCCAGTCTTCGGGATTCAGAAAGGAGATAATCAAGGCTAGGGAGACCATGGAAAACTTGAGTTTCCACAGATACAGACTGAGGCATCTCAGATCCAAGACGGGCTGCAGGCCTCCTTTGGCCTTTGGGATTAGGAAATATATAGAATATATAGGAAATATATTCCCCCTGTTCTGATACTGAAGTGGAACTTCTTCAACTGCCCCCAACTGCAATAGCTCCTGAACCTCCCGAGTGAGAAGGATCTCACAGAATCAGAGAACACTAGAACTGGAAGGGACCTTGAGAGGTCATCGAGTCCAATCTCCTGCCCTCACGGCAGGACCAAGCACCATCTAGATCATCCCCCATAGATCACAGAATCATAGAGCTGGAAGAGACCTCAGGTGGTCATCAAGTCCAGCCCCCTGCTCTAGGTAGGACCAATCCCAACTAAATCAACCTGGCCAGGGCTTTGTCAAGCTGAGACTTAAACACCTCTAGGGATGGAGACTCCACCACCTCCCTAGGTAACCCATTCCAGTGCTTTACTACCCTCCTAGGGAAATAGTTTTTCCTAATATCCAACCTGGACCTTTCCCACCAAAACTTGAGACCATTGCTCCTTGTTCTGCTGTCTGCCACTACTGAGAACAGCCTTTCTCCATCCTCTTTGGAACCTCCATTCAGGAAGTTGAAGGCTGCAATCAAATCCTCCCTCACTCCTCGCTTCTGCAGACTAAACAGACCCAACTCCCTCAGCTCTTCTCATAAGTCATATGCTCCAGCCCCCTAATCATTTTGGTTGCCCTCCGCTGGACTCTCTCCAGTGCGTCCACATCCTTTTTGTAGTGGGGGGCCCAGAACTGGACACAATACTCCAGATGTGGCCTCACCAGAGCTGAATAAAGGGGAATAATCACATCTCTGGATCTGCTGGCTATGCTCCTCTTAATGCAACCTAATATGTCATTAGCCTTCTTGGCTACAAGGACACACTGTTGACTCATATCCAGCTTCTCATCCACTGTAACCCGCAGGTCCTTTTCTGCAGAACTACTACTTAGCTGGTTGATCCCCAGCCTGTAACAATACTTGGGATTCTTCCGTCCCAAGTGCAGGACTCTGCACTTGTCCTTGTTGAACCTCAACAGATTTCTTGTGGCCCAATCCTCCAATTTGTCTAAGTCATTCTGGACCCTATCCCTGCCCTTAAGCATATCTACCTCTCCCCTAGCTTAGTGTCATCCGCAAACTTGCTGAGGGTGCAATCCATCCCCTCATCCAGGTCATTAATAAAGATATTGAACAAAACCAGTCCTACAACCGAACCTTGGGGCACTCCGCTAGAAACCGACCGTCATCCTGACATCGAGCCATTGATCACTACCCGCTGGTCCCAACCTTCTAGCCAGCTTTCTATTCATCTTAACCGTCCATTTATCCAATCCACATTCCCTTAACTTGCTGGCAAGAATATTGTGGGAGACCGTATCAAAAGCCTTGCTAAAGTCAAGGTCTATCACATCCACTGACTTTCCCACGTCCAAAGATCCTGTTACCTCATCATAGAAGCTAATCAGATTGGTCAGGCATGACTTGCCCTTTGTGAATCCATGCTGACTATTCCTAATCACTTTCCTCTCTTCCAAGTGCCTCAAAATGGATTCCTTAAGGATCCCTTCCATGATTTTTCCAGGAACCGAGGTAAGACTGACCGGCCTATAGTTCCCTGGATCGTCCTTCTTCCCTTTTTTGAAGATGGGCACTACATTTGCCTTTTTCCAATCATCCAGGATCTCTCCCGATCTCCATGACTTTTCAAGGATAATGGCCAAAGGCTCCTCAATGACATTTGCCAACTCCCTCAGTACCCTCGGATGCATTAAGTCCGGACCCATGGATTTGTGTACGTTTAGCTTTTCTAAATAGTTCCTAACCTGTTCTTTACCCACCAAGGGCTGTCCATCTTCATCTCATCTTGCGTCACTTAGCGCATTAGTCTGGGAGCCCACCTTCTCCGTGAATACAGAGGCAAAGAAAGCATTGAGTACTTCAGCTTTCCCCACATCATCTGTCACTAGGTTACCTCCTTTATCCAGTAGGGGCTGAACACCCTCTCTGATCACCTTCTTCTTGTTAACATGCCTGTAGAAATCTTTCTTGTTCTCCTTCACATCCTTAGCCAGTCGCAATTCCATTTGCGCTTTCACCTTCCTGATAACCCCCCGGCATTCTCGAGCTAGACATTTAAACCCCTCCCTGGTCATTTGTCCAAGTTTCCACTTTTTGTAAGCTTCCTTTTTGTGCTTAAGTTCACCAAGGATTTCCCCTATAAGCCAATCCGGTCTCCTACCATGTTTGCCTCTGTTGCTACGCATCGGGATGGTTTCTTTCTGTGCCTTCAATAAGGCTTTTTTAAAATACTGCCAGCTCTCCTGTTATACTGCTAGATGTCAAGCATGGCATCTGGGCAGGTTGAGTGAACTCCTATGGGTTCCAAGGAAACCAGGGCATTGGCCGTTGCAGCCATCCCTGTGGGGGTGGAGCTGCTGGTGCCAGAACATGTCTCAGAGGCAGGGACTCCTGCTCAGTGCTGGCCTCCAAAGCATCTTCCTCAATATCTGGGGATTTGGTATGGGGACGCCTCTGGGTGTGTAGTGTGCGGTGATAGATGCGGGCTCATGAGGATCTGTCTGAGGAGCTTCTGTCTCAGGCTCTTGAAGAGTGGAGTGATCCAGCAGACTGCCAATGGAAATCCAGTGATCGACACCTTATGACACCCATGGACTACTAGGATCTGTAGCAAGACGTGCACCAGGAATGGGACCAGTGGCCCAAAGACCTTCTCCTCAATGACGAGCTTTGAGAAGGTGACTGGTGTTGGTGTGATGATGGCTAACAGCGTTGTTGTATCATGCAGTTCTGGGAGCATTACCGAAGACTCTGAGTAACCAGGGACAGATCCTATGTGATCTACAGAAGGCCTGGGAGCTCATCCATAGTCTCTAGGGCTCCAATAAGCATTGCCCCAAATCCTGCTTCCTGCACCCAGAATTGAGGGAATGGAAGGGCTTACATGAAGCACTTCTCCCATTGTCTGATTCTTTCAGGCTGTGTGTCAGAGAGGCCTTGTGGGACGCTATCTTGAGGGGATTGGGGCTGCTGGGAAGGCAATGCATGTACTGGGCCCAACATGGGCTTGTCCCTGGACCATGATAGCTCTTCCGCGTGGCGTAGGCCTTCACTGCTACTTGGTCTTGCTGGGGTGGATGTGAAGGACTCGGCTGCTCTGCCTGAGCCAGCCCCTGGTTTTCTGAGGGGGTTGACAAGCTGTCCACCATGGGCCTGGGCCCTCCCATTTTCCAGATCATGAATGTTGCTGGATCAGACAGGGCTGGTTTTTGGAGGTACCCCCTGCACTAAGAGAACTCTCTACAAATGAAGATAACTGCCGTCGCAGCAAGAAATAGAGCTGTTTGGAAGACAGCAGTTCCGATGCACAGTCACCAGTGGCAAGAAGGAATTGAGGGTGAGGGGGGTGCACAGCGGTCTTTAGACCAGCCATGTAGCACCACTCCAGCGGTTGCTAGGGCTGCTCCCCTACACACCTATTGTGGAATGGGCATGAGCAAGCACTCAAAGAAGAATCTCAAGAGTCTGCAGGTTTAGTTTGGATAAACACCCAGAAGTCTGAATGGCCATTTGAAGCTTATCCAAACTCCCAGAACCTCTCAGGTCTGCAAGAACACGCTCTTTTGTGAGACGGATCAATCCAGAAATACCTTGAGAATGGCTCTGATGAACTATTTCAGCACTCCAGCTTCTGGAAGAAGCCAGGTGCAGAGGTACCTGCAAAAGGGAAAAGTGGTAAGAAAATGGTAACCCAACTTTTTGGAATCTTATTAAGCTTGGTTTGAAATGTGGGGGAGGAATGGCAGGTTTCTTATGTTATTCCTACAGGTTCACCTATTCCTAAATGTTGGGAACACAAGCACATTGTCTTTGTGCATGAGCATTTAATCTCCACACCCAACACAAGTGATAAGTCATATCCCTGCATACTTACCATTTGTTTGCATAGAAGGTGCAATATTTCAGAAAGCAAGACCCCAGCTCTTCCCACAGGAAGTAAAGGTTTGCTAAATTCTCTGGAATGGAACAGAAACAAATACTTCTATTATCATCTTTTACTGTCCTAGACAAATCTCTATGTTGTGAAAAGCAGCTCTTGATTTGGGGCAGGAGGGAAGTGGGGATCAAGCCAATGCAGACAACTGCACAGCTTTAACTTATGCTCTGTACATGCGATCTCATCTTGCTCCCATTGAAGTGAATGTTAAAACGCCAATCAACTTCACTGATGTAGAATTGGGCCAATATTATATTAAAACACTTGAACACCAACTACAACACGAACAATGAAAACAATTCTATACCATATTTTTACATGGGGCAAAATCTACTTTATTTTGGTGGGGGGAGGATTTGGGTGGCAGGATCTTGTAGTTTCTTAAAGCCTAGATTTTAAAGGTATGCAATTCCTTGATTTTAATGGGAGTTAGGTGCCCAAGAACCTTTAAAAACCTGTCCCTAAGCTCTTTGGGGCAGGGAACTGTTACTTTCTAGATATTAGTATAATGTTACAATAACAGGCCCAAACCTTGGCCCTGTCTGTGCTGCTGCAAGAGAAATGAGAGTGACGGTGATCATGATAAAAATATAGTAATGGACTGATTTTGGAAAATGGTTTCCATTTTTGTGCGTGTAGTTTTGCATTCCTGTTTAACAGTAACCAGGCAGGCCGAAGTGGTTATTAATTCTAGGCACAATTATCACAGGTGAAAAACTGTATATTCAGAAAATGAAGGCAGAGTGCATGTCCTCTTGAAAGATCAGGGTCTTAATATTTCCCTGAGTGACTCTGGTCCTACAACTTTAGGTTGTTTTTAATTCAGCAAGAAAAAAACTAGGTCTGAAAAGGACTGGTAGATAGACTGGTAGATAACGTTAAAAAAGGGGGGGAAGGAGGGATAGGCAGACTGCACAGAGCAAACTCCTGCACTATTAGAGCTTCCACATCAATTCAGATTTGATTTTGGGACCACCACTCAAAAGATCTCTCATTGACTCTTGCATTTTTTCTGTCTAGTCAACTGACAAGAGTCATGCTGCTTAGAAGTTAAAGCATAATCAGGCTAGTTTAGGCACAACGATCACTGAACAAAAACAGCACTGCTTACGTCATAAGTTCTCTCATAGAGATTCCTCCTTCTTTTAACATGGGAGTCACCAATTCAGCTAGATACAACCAAATATGTGGTATATCTATGGCCATATCATCTGCCAGCTCCAAGGTGTCTGAAAACCTTTGGAAGAAAGGAGAAACTTGAAATGTTCAATCCAATTCCAATCTTAGTGAATTCCTGTCAAATAAATCCACCCTGCATTAAATACTTTTGATGAATAATAACTCCCCCCCCCAATGATATACCACCCAATCCTCCCCATGTCATTGTGAAGCATAATTACCTCTTGGAAATGCTGAAGCACTGGAAGTATGGGCAAAAGGAAATTCACTCCATGTAACTGGAGTGCTGTGCAGGTGGTAGTCAAAACATACAGGAAAAGAATTTTTAAAATTCCCATTACGTAATAATGAGCAGCCCGTTAACAGTGCTGGTATCTCTAAGAATACAATGTGTTTTCTTCTTTAAATACAAAACCACTAACAAACAGAATGTGGGAGGACATGGAAAAGATGGCCAAACATTTTCAATGGTACAATAATTGAGTCTGGTGTGATCCATTAACTGTCTAAAACATAACACAAGAAAATAGCCAATAAACTGGAGTGTGGCCTGAGATGGTCAGTCCCTCTTTTTTAGGAAAGCCACCTGACCACTTGAATGACTCAGCAGCAGGCACCGGCATTCCAGAACAAAAAGCTCTACTGATGATTTATGAGGTCTTTTCTCACACTGCAGATCCAGATTTCAGAATTTTCTATAGGCCTTTGTCACAATGATATTTTACTTTTGTGCAACAGGTTCAAATCTAGGTGAGGTCGGTAGGTGTGGCTGCCTTTACCATACGACAGTCTAACCACCTGATCAATGATCAAAGAAGTCGTCTCCCTGAGGCTCCTAGAGGACAGGTGTTCACATCACCAGAAGAATTAATGCATTTGGTACCATACTGCCTTTATCTAAAGTTGGTCCCTATAAATCAGAGTTGAGTCACAGGCAGTGAATACTCTTTTGTGATTGCAAGAACTATCTACATTCTGTGGACAGACCGAGACTTTTGTTTAAAAAGCCACCAATATAGCACCATTCACAAGCATTAATTTCACTCAAATATTGATTTAGCACACTCCTTACCCCAGTTATACAAGACTCCTCCATGGGCAAATAAAAATCCTCTTTCAGAAAGGATCCTTTGGCTCTCACAGGAAGCTGAGAAGGGGGTATCCCCCAACACAGGGAGTGTGTGTGGGTTTTTTTTTAATTAACACAAAAAGAAGTTAGAGATCTACATGAAGTGTGTGTGTGCCAGAATACCAACCCCTTGAAGAAATCCTGTTTGCTCAGCTTTTCCGACTGCACCAACTGATAGAGTAACTGGCCCATATGATCCCTGGTGATCTGACTCCTCTCCAGAGTAGACTCCACTCCTACTCGTACAAAAATGGGCAACAGACTCTGGGCATTCAACTCCTCCACACACTGCATTGCTTCCTGTTCAAACAACACAAAAGATCATTTATCTGATTACTGGGAAACATCAAGACACAAAAGGCAGGAGAATGTGCTTCACTAAAACAAGCGCCATGACACTTAGTTCTTTTGGCCAAAGACAATCGATTATTTTGACAAACTTTTAAAAGAATAAAGATAAAATAATTTAAGCACACTCAGTCTTCAGGCTATATGCTAGCTGCTAACTGACAGGTGCTAGGAAGAAAAGTTTTCCACGGGTAGGGTATTCTGTTATTGTCCTCTAGAAAGTTTCTCACCTCCTCCTCTAAAGCACTGGTCCAGGTCAGTGAGAGGTTACTAGAACAGATGGAATTCTGTTCTGTTCTGGGGGAGGGTGGGCAATATCTGTGTTATTAAAAGATGCCACATACTGAAGCAGAAAATATAGGAATCATACATGTAAATGGCTCAAAATAAAGACAATGGATTTTAAAAAGGCAGACTTTAGTAAACCAAGGAGTTGGCACGTAAGGTCCCATGGGAAACAAGTCTAAGAATAAAAACATGAGAAGATAGCGGACAGTTTTTCAAAGAGACTTTATTAAGGACACAAGAGCAAACTATTCCACTGTGTAGGAAAGAGGAAACGTGGCAAGAGACCACCTTTGGCTTAACATGGAGACCTTGCACGACCTAAAAATCAAAATGGAATCTTACAAAACCTGGAAACTAGGGGAAATTCCAACGGATGAATATAAAAAAATAACACAAGTGTGTAGGGTCAAAATTTGAAAGGCAAAGACACAAAACGAGCTCTAACTAGCTAGAGGCATCACAACAAGAAATCATTCTACAAATATATTAGAAGCAAGCGGAAGACCAACGACAGGGTAGGTCTATTTCTCAATGAACAGGGTAAAACAATAACAAAAAATATGGAAATAGCAGAAGTGCTTAATGACTTCTTTGTTGTGATTTTCATCAAGTAGGTTCATGGCAACTGGACACCTAACATAGTGAATGCCAGGGAAAATGGGGGTAGGTTCAGAAGACAAAATAGGAAAAGAACACATTAAAATTACTTAGACAAGTTAGATGTTTTCAGGTCACCAAGGCCTGATGAAATGCTTCCTAGAATACTCAAGGAGCTCATTGAGGAGATACCGAGCCATTAGCTGTTACCTTCAAAAAGTTGTGGAAAATGGGAGAGATGGCAAATCTAGTGCCCATCTATAAAAGGGGGAATAAGGACAAACGGGGCATTACAGACCTGTCAGCTTAACATATGTACCAGGAAAAAAAAGAATGGAGCAAATAATTAAGAAAACCATTTGGAAATATTTAGATAATAAGTTACACCCACCATGGATTTGGAAAGGAAAAATCATATCAAACTAACTTGACAGCTTATTTTGACAGGATTACAACCCTTTTAGATAAGGTGGAAGTGGTGGATGTGGTATACCAGTGGTTCCCAACGTGGTGCCCGTGGGCGCCATGGCGCCCGCCGGGGCATTTATGTGCGCCCACCAAATGATCTGGGCTGGCCGCGCCCCCGGGTGCGTGGCGCATGGGCGGCTCCGCCCCCGGTAGCCTCGAAAGGTCGGGGACCACTGTGGTATACCAAGACCTTCTCATTAACAAAAGTGAGAAAATATAACCTAGATGGAGCTACTATAACATGGGTGCATATCTACTTGGATAACTATTTACAGAGATACAAGGGGTAACAGTGTTAATCTGTAACTTTAAAAACGAGTAGTCCTGTGGCACCTTAGAAACTAACAAATTATATATATATAGGCAATTCACGACTTACGAACGGGTTACGTTCCAAACACCTGGTCGCAAATCGATTTGGTTGCAAGTCAGAAATACCATTAAACGCGCTGCTTGTATTGTTCGAAAAACTTGATGTGCATGGTTCTCAACTCGAAAATACATATAATGGGGTTAATGGGAGGTTGGTTGTAAGTACAGGTGGTCGTAAGTCGGTGTGTTCATAAGTCGGGGAGTGGCTGTAGTATCATGAGCTTTCATGGGCAAAACCCACTTCTTCAGATAAGATGATTATGAGTTAAGATCATCTCATCTGAAGAAGTAGGTTTTGCCCACAAAAACTGATGATACTACACACACACACACACACACACACACACACACACACACACACACATGGTTTTGTTTAGTCTCTAAGGGTGCGTCTACACTGTATAGTAACTTGAAATAAGATACGCAATTTGAGCTATGCAAATTGCATTTCTTATTTCGATGCTATTTTGAAGTAGCTTATTTTGTCATTTGGCGCTGTCTACACAGCACCAAATTTCAAAATAAAATGCTATTCTGAAACATCCCTTACTCCTCGGAGAATGAGGTTTAAAGGAACATCGGAATAGGAAGCCCGAAATAACAGGCTTGCTATCAAGATACGGGATTGCTATTTTGGGATACTTTGGTTTCCCGAAATTGCATTGCAGTGTACACGTACCCTAAGATGCCACAGCACTACTTGTCATTTCCAGAGAGTAGCTATCAATGGTTCACAACCATGATGGAAGAGCATAACGAGTGGGGTTCTGCAGAGATAGCTTTGGGACTGGTTCTGTTCAATATCTCCAATGATTTAGATAATGTTACAGAGAGTAAGCTTACAAAATTTGTGGATGACACAAAGCTGGGAGGGGTTGCAAGTGCTTTGGAGGCTAGGATTAAAATTCAAAAATTATCTGGACAAACTGGAGAAATGGTTTGAAGTAAACAGGATGCAATTCAATAAGAACAAATGCAGAGTGCTCCATTTTGGAACGAACAAGCAGTTGCACACATACAAAGTGGGAAATAACAACCTGGGAAGGACTGCTGCAGGAAGGGACTGAGGGGTCAGAGTGGACCAGAAGCTAAAGATGAGTCATCAGTGTGACACTGTTGCAAAAAAAAGCAAACGTCAATTTGGGCTGCATTAACAGGAGTGTTGTGAGCAAGACACGAGAAGTCAGAATTCCGCTCTACTCTGTACTGATTAGGCCTCAATTGGAGTATTGTGTCCAGTTCTGGGCACCACATTTCAGGAAAGATGTGGCGAAATTAGAGGAGGTCCAGAGAAGAGCAACAAAAACGATTAAAGGTCTAGAAAAAAGAGCTATTAGGGAGAACTGACCAAACTGGGCTTGTTTAGACTGGAAAAGAGAAGACTAAGAGGGGACATGATAACGGTTTTCAAGTACCTAAAAGGATGTTACAAGGTGGAGGGAGAAAAATTATTCTCCTTAACTCCTGATAATGGGACACAAATTACAGCAATGGAGATTTAGGTTGGACATTAGGAAAAACTTTCTGTCAGGGTGGGTAAGCATTGGACTAAAATGCCTCAAGAAGTTGTGGAATGTCCATCCTTGGATATATCTAAGAGCAGGTTAAATAAACATCTGGCAGGGATGATCTAGATCAGTGTTTCTCAACCAGTGGTACGAGTACCCTTAGGAGTACTCAAGGGAAGTCTGGGGGGTACGTCAACACAACTGACATTTGGAGAAAACTGAATTTTTGTTTTAAGTTTTACAGTTTTATTATTACTGTATTTTTTACACCCAAAAATTTTATCCCCAGCCCGGCTATGATTAAGTTGTTTAAACAAATGTGTTGCAATGGTAGAAAATATTTTTTTTTTTAAAAAGGGGTACTTTATAAAAAAGGTTGATAAACACTGATCTAGATGCTACTTGGTCCTGCAATGAATGCAGGGGTCTGGACTTGATCACCTCTTCTGGTTTCTTCTCATTCTGTTAGTCTATGATTGATTCTACAATTGATGTTTGGAAATGCAAGGTACTCACACTAAAATACACAAATACAATACAGACAGTCCCCGACTTACGCGGATCCGACTTATGTCGGATCCGCAGTTACGAACGGGGCTTTTCTCGTCCCGGAGGATGCGGGCGGCGGGACCGCCCATACGCGCCGCGGTCCCGCCGCCCACGTCCTCCGGGGCGAGAAAAGCTGCTCCGCATCTCCCTGGTCTTCTGGGGGGGGGGGGGGGGGGGGGGAGACAGAGGCAGGGTGGGGAATTGGCATGAAGTCTTCTTTTGATTTTAGAATCTGCTTTGTGCTGTTCCTCAGCATCTTTGGTGTCCCAAATGTCATGGTACTTTCCTATTGAAAACCACCCACTCCCTTGGGGAAGAGGGGCCTGTATATTCTTAAGAGGAATTTTTAAAATTACCTTCTTCTGTAAATTGTGAACCTGATATGACAGACTAATCTAATAAGGATGTGGGGAAGTTGCCACAATCTCTGTTTATACACTGAATATAAAACTGCTTTATTTCAGCAAGAGGATCCACCTTTACTGTCTCTGAGGCTACCTCTACACTATAGGGTTTTTGCGCAAAAACCTGTGGAGCACCCACACCTTAAGCATGTTTTTGCGCAAGTAAATTTACAGTAATTCAAATGAACAAAGGGGTATTTGTGGTGTAGGTATTCCTCTTTCTACAAGGAATAACTCCTTTTTGCGCAAGAGTTCTTGCACAAAAAGGTGTGTGTGGATGGGCAACAGGGGGGCTTTGCGCAAAGAGAGTCAATCGAAAAAAGCACAGGTGCTCTGATGGCTATTCTCTGAATAGCCATCAGAGCTTTCTTTCAAGAGAGCATCCATGCAGTCTGGATGCTCTCTTATGCAATAGCGCATCGCATTTTGCGATGCGCTTTTGTAGTGTGGACGCATTCTTGTGCTAAAGTTTTTGTGGAAGATCTCAAATAGAGTGAAATACAGTAACACCATACTTCTAATATCTGCAGTATCACTAGACAAGAACCGCTTCAACTGAACGTTTAAATCAAACGTGGTAGACCTCGGTGGTCTCTTTATGACTCAGTACATTTCAATGCCTTTTATGTTGGACCATACACTCTGTTGTCAAGAACTGATAGCTCCAGGTGACTGGAATCAACTTTCTAGGTAGCTTTTTCCACAGGTCACATGGTCTATGATAGTCCCAGACTCCATGCTGAGGCCATAGTTTTAAATCAGGCATATGTTAGTGCCTGACAGACACAAGGGTAATTATGTGACACAGGACTTTTAGGATGCACTGCTGACTCCAGGGCTGTACATCCAGTTGTCACTGCCACAAAGCTAATACCTCTACCTTAATCATATAGGCTGTGTCTAGACTGGCCAGTTTTTCCGGAAAATCAGCCGCTTTTCCGGAAAAACTTGCCAGCTGTCTACAATGGTGGCTTGAATTTCCGCAAGAACACTGACGATCTCATGTAAGATCGTCAGTGTTCTTGCAGAAATACTATGCTGCTCCCGTTCGGGCAAAAGCCCTCTTGCACAAATCACTTGCGCAAGAGGGCCAGTGTAGACAGCACAGTACTGTTTTGCGCAAAAAAGCCCCGATGGCTAAAGTGTGTCTAGATTGGCACGGACGCTTTTCCACAAAAAGTGCTTTTGCGGAAAAGCGTCCGTGCAAATCTAGATGCTCTTTTCTGAAAATGCTTTTAACGGAAAACTTTTCTGTTAAAAGCATTTCCGGAAAATCATGCCAGTGTAGACGTAGCCATAATGGGTACACTTGGAGCATATCTTTAAAAAAAGACAGATACTGGAGATTTATTTTTTAAAAAGTAAGCAGCACTTACCTGTACTATAATTCTCAGAGTAAATATTCCATGGTGGCAATACTAAATCATTATTAACTCTTGAAATCTGACTTTAATAAGCCAAATATCTATCCTAGGAGCTAGGTTTTGGACAAGAAGACTCCTCTACAATAGGATTTACCTCTCATGCTTGTTTTTTGGCTACAGTTTTTTGGCAGAATTTTGGAATTGTGTTCAGTGATTCTATTTACAGGATGTCAATTTAGGATCCCCATATCCCAGTCACTTGGAACTTGGCAGAAAATTTCTGCCTGAGGCTACAGATCTAGCCTATCAATTCTGAGGACAATATACTTACGGATTTTACAGGAGAGATCAAAATCCAGTTTACAAGTTGCAACCTTAACAATCAACATTTATGGAAAGCTTTGTTCAATCTGGATTATTTCATCTGCCTTGACATCAGAACAACGAGCTCTTTACAGGTGAACTAAACTTTTCTCTAGTCACTCTAGCTTTCTACACCCTGAATTGACATACAATTATAACAAGTGCTGCTCAGCAGTCCTGAGAGACATATCTAATACTTTCTACTTACAATACCCAAAGGGGGCTACAGTATTTTTTCCTCTGTCTTTAGCAATGGAAGAACCAGAACAATCAGAGAGCGGTGCTAAGATCCCTACATTCCAAATTTCAATAGGTCCCATGTTTATGTTAAAGATCTAAGAACAGGATGTTTAAGACACTGTCCCTGGAATGGAAAAAATGCCAAAGGTCCCACTGTTCCATGGCTTTCTAAAAGGTGAGGTTTCATTCTGTTTACCTTATAATCGTTAATGTGCAAGAACTCATCAATGATGGATTTGCACTTTCTCTCCATTTCCTCTTCTGACAGTGAAGATTTATCTTGTACTGAAGCTGAGTGAGTTTCTGGCTTGGCTGGTAATAAGGCAGAGAAAACAGACACTGAATAAAGAAGTAATCTTCAGTTCCAAAAAACAATGTAAAAAACCCCTCAAGCATCCCCTCTCAGCCATTCCTGGCAGCTGAATGGAACTTGTGAGAGGCACTCTGCTGTGACTGAAAGCAGGTTGATTTTGGAAACACGGCAGTGGGAGGTAAAATAAACAGTTTAGATTCTATTTTCTGCCAGTTTCTCATGAGTCAGTCTGATCATCAGGCATAAGTAATTTCTTATTTAGCTCAGCTTTCAACTGGTGATTACTCCCTTTTATTTGACACTGGTGAAGACACATCTGGAGTACTGCATCCAGTTCTGGGCCCCACATTACAGAAAGGATGTGAATGCATTGGAGAGGGTCCAGCGGAGGGCAACAAAAATGATCAGGGGGCTGGAGCACATGGTCTACAAGAAGGTGCTGAGGGATTTGGGCTTGTTTAGCCTGCAGAAGAGTGAGGGGGGATTTGAGAGCAGCCTTCAACTCCCTGAAGGGGGGTTCCAAAGAGGATGGAGAGAGGCTGTTCTCAGTGGTGAAAGATGACAGACAGAGGAGCAATGGTCTCAAGTTACAGTGGGGGAGGTCTAGGTTGGATATTAGGAAAAACCATTTCCCTAGGAGGGTGGGGAAGCACTGGGCTGAGTTCCCTAAGGAGCGGGTAGAGTCTCCATCCCTACAGGTGTTTAAGTCCCAACTTGACAAAGCCCTGGCTGGGAGGACTGAGTTGGGGTTGGTCCTGCTTTGGGCAGGAGGCTGGACTCGATGCCTCCTGAGGTCTCTGCCAGCCCTGGGATTCTATGGGGAATCCTCTGTCTGAAACTCACCATTCTCAGAATAGTACTTGGCAGTGACACGGCATTTTACAAGTTCAAAGCACGTTACAAACATTAAATACTTAGTTTTTGAACGGTGGCAGCAGTTGTCTCTCAATACTGTACATTTACAGCACATTTATAGCACGCTGACTGTGAATGTCAGAAACCAAAGACAATCTCCCTAATTCCAAAACCCACTGTAGAAGCAAACCCTTAAGGACTCTCTTCCCCGCCAGTCCTCTGGGTATGGACTGGCCCTCCCTCAAACCCACTCAGAAAAAAGCCTGAACAGACAGAGGGGCTCGTGCTGTACATGTTATGACTCGGCTTTATACTCACAGAACCTTTTCTTAAATCCTGAGCCACTGCTGGCTGAGCTCCAATGGAAGGAGCAGCAGCGGGCCCTGAGTGCAGCCAGGTGTCAACAGCCACCACCACCGTTTCTACTCTTGCGGCATGATGACGCGCTCAGAGGAAGCTCAGGCAGCCTCATCTACACTAGGCTTCCCACCACTGGGAAATGTTAAAAAGTGTAGATACAGCCCAAAGAGACAAGCAACCCCGGGGCTTAGATACCATGATGACAAGCGCCTACGAAGCACCAAAAACAACATGACTAACCAGAGTCAGTCATACAAGGGGCGGGGAGTACACCCGCCCAAGTGAAGTCAGTGGGACATGAGGTGCTAAGAATCTCTCAAGAGCAGTTCACAGAACCTGGCCTAGGCAAATAAAGTCTGAGGGGGAAAGACCTTCCACTGAAAATGCTGAGCCTCAGCATCCTGTCTCGGGACTTATAACAGATATGTCTTGGCTAGTCCCAACTGTTGAGAAGGTTCACAGATAGCAAGGGGGTGACTGGGAAACCAGAACCAAGCTCCATTTGCATTGCTTAGTGGTGTCTGTTACTTCGGCACCTTCCAAAAATTAACACAAACACAAATCTAAACTCACCACACCCTGCTGCTAGAAGGGCCCTACAATCAATCAAAGGTCTAGCCAAACAGAGGATACTTACACTGTGCCCAAATCTCACCAGGCGTGGGCTTTCACCAAGTGTCCCAGGCAACAAGCCCCAGATGCATGAGGTCAGTACTCAGAATAAATCTTCCACTATCCCAGGAACAGACATGGGTGGAACCAGACTTGGGTGAAAAGGTGATTATACAGATAACTGGGGCCCAATTACTTTTGCTGACATATAAAATGATTTTGGAAAATCTTTCGTAACTGCTATTCTTTGATATTTCTTGCTCACGACCATTCAGTGTTACGTGCGTGTGACACGTGTACCATGTATGGACATTTTTCACTCAGCCAGTGCCATTGGACTGGTGCTAGCTCCTCTGGAATCATGTGCTTACGAGCTGGTATCAGGGGTACCACCGACTCCACATCTCTCCATTCCTTCTTCCTGGTTAACACTGGCAGAAGGGCAGGAGGGTGGGTTATGGAATGGGGATGAGCAACACATCTCGAAGAACTTAAGACTGGTAACCATTTTTTAACCATGGCGAATAGATTTCAGCCAGTCGCCCCGTTCACCAGCGGCGCGTGCATGCACAATGCGGGTCTGGTGCATGCGCAGTGCGGGGCTAGCGAGCAGATTTTACCGCGGTTTGTTAAGCCCTGCTCATGTCCATTCCATGTGAGGTGATTCACAAGCAGTACCCAAGGAGGCGGGCTTAGCGCTCACAGACATACTGACTACCACACAGGTCTTCCAAACCTGGTGCTCTGAGGCCTATTGGGGGATGGTGTAACAGGACGCAAGGCATACACTGGTGACCAGGTTGCAGCTCTGCAGAGGTGCTAAAATGGGACCTGCGCGAGGAATGTGGCTGGTGAAGCCGGAGCTCTTGGGGAATGAGCCGCTAAGATGTGCGGAGGCTGAACATTCGCCTGCTCATGTCAAGCTCGAATACAGGCAGTTATCCAGGATGAGATCCTTTGGGCTGACGCAGGTGGCTGTTTCATTCTTTCTGTGTGGAAGGGTTTAGTCCTCACACTATAAAAGATGAGGGCCAGTGGAACATGTAACAAGGGGAGCTGTCGTTTCTCAGAGTCCTTGTGAGGTTTTGGAAGAAGTCTGGTAGAAAAGTGATCTGGTTGTTATGGAATTGTGATCGACTGTTCTAAGCAAACCTGTTCTTCCGGGTGCAGCCACGTGGCATTCATGCAGTCAGGTGCAGTGAGGCAAGATTTGGGTGAAGTAACCAGCCATGGTCTTCTGAAACCAGGTCTGGACAGAGGAGTCATGAGAGTTGTCACCGAGAGATCCAGCAGCATCCCGAACCATCGCTGGTGCAGCCATACTGTTGTTATCAAAATAACTCTTGCCCTGGGCTGTTTAATTTTTAGGAGGACCTTGTGCTCCAAGAGGACTGGGGGAAAGGTATAAAGTATACAATCTATTCACAAGAGTAGGAAGGTGTTGGAAAGGGACCCTGGGTTGTGTTTGTACAGCAAACAAAACTGATGGCATTTTCAGTTCTGCCTGATGGTGGAAAGATCCACTTGGGGAGGCCTCCAATCTGGTGACTCGTGGTAGGAGTAGGATTTACCGAGGTGATCTGCCAGTACACTTGGGGTTACTAGATTTAAAAAACGAGTGGTCCTGTAGCACCTTAGGTATGTCTACACAGCAGTGTTATTTCGGAATAACTGACGTTAATCCGAAATAACACAGTACACATCTACACTACATTATTTTGAAATGATGGCAAGCTGAATGACTTCTTATTTTGACTCCTGTTGCTCTCATTTTATGAGGAGTAAGGGAAGTGGAAGGAAGAGTGTTGTATTAAGCTATTGCGACTTAAGCTACGCAACTGATGAAGTTGGGTAGCATAATTTGAATTTTGCCCTGCTGTGTAGACGTACCCTAATAGAGACTAATAAAAATATATATAGTATCATGAGCTTTCATGGGCATAACCCATCTCAAGAGGGTATATACTATGTGTATATATTTGTTGTGAGTCTCTAAGCTGCTACAGGTTAAGTTTTTTTAAGTTACAGACTCACATGGCTACCCCTCTGAGGCTAGCAGATGTGACACCTCGAGATGGAGTGCTCTGTGTGCAGGTCCCACAGACAGATGGCCTCCCGATTCAAGGCTGAAGATCGAGCCCCTCCCTGCTTGTTGATATAAAATGTGGCAGTAGCACTGTTTGTCAGGACTTGCACCATCTCACCTTAGATCCTGGGGAGGAACACTTGGCGTACTAAGTGAACCTCCAGGAGCTCCCTGACTAAGGATGTTAACTAATAAGTAATTTACTAGTCAAGTAGTTGATGGAAATTCCATGTGCCCCCACTGGGGCTCTTGTAAATTTCAAAGGAGGAATGTGGAACTCCACGTGCAGCCCGGGGCCAGTAGGAAGTCCTGCTCACCTTGGGCTGCCTGCAGGTGCCAGCTTTGAAATGTACAAAAGTCAGCTGGTTCCATGGAAATGCCGTGTGGAGCCAAGGGTCAGCTAGGGAGTCCCCAGCTGATCCCAGGCTCCGAGTGGTGCTGCTGCTTCCCCCTCTACCTCTTCCCCTCGCTGCCTCTATATGTCCCTGGGCTCCGTGTGGCATTTCTATGGAACCCAGGATTAGCGGGGGACTCCCCAGCTCACCCTGGGTTCTGCGCACTTTGAAAGGCCGCGCTGGAGCCCGGGAGTCCCCAGCTGATCCCGGGCTCCACTTGGCATTTCAAAGTGGCAGTACCAGCGGGGGGCTCCCCAGCTGACTCCGAGTTCTGCAGAAATGTCGCAGGAAGCCCGGGATCAGCTAGGGAGACCCTATGGCAGCAGCGTTTCAAAATGGCAGCTCTGCACAGAGCCCCAGTATTTCTCTTCCCCCACTCCCCCTTTGCTGCCTCTATCTGACCTAGGACCTCAGGTTTGACTTGGTCTGGAATTGGACAGTCGAGCACTGCCCCTGTGGTATTGTCTTGGGGGTCCCGCACTTCTAGACGGTTAGGTCATGCCTCAGGGGCTCACTGGGACCCTCAACATAGCCTCTCGCCCTTTCTGGAGGCAAGGATCACAGCCTACTGAGCTACCTTCATCTTAGACCAGTCAATTAATTTGGTATGAGACCCTCCTTATTTGTAGTCTTCCCTCTCAGGGAATGTCTCCGTGGTGGTGTGGGGCGGGCTGGGGGGAACCAGGGCCCGCCCTCTACTCCAGGTTCAGCCCAGGGACCTTAATGGCAGTGGGAACAGGTAGTGTTTCCTCCACTACCAGAGCTGTTCCACTTCCCCAGAGGACCTCCCAGTGCCTTGCTTCTGGTACCTGACCATTCTCATCCTCCCAGCTCTTTCACAATGCACCACGTTCCTCCCAGCTCCTCGCCAATGACTCTCCCTGAAGGGTCTTTTAAGAACCTGCTAAGGCCAGTTCAATAGGCTGCAGGTGTTTTAATTAGCTCGTGTCTCTTTGCTGCTAGCAAGTTCTTAATTGGCTCCAGGGATCTTATGGTGTCTGTCAGACTTAATTGGTTCTAGTACATTCCGGATTGTTCTGGAGCAGCCCCTGAACTGGTCACTTAGGGAACAGAAAACCCATAGGGCTGCTGAAAGAGTAGGGCAGGGAACTGGTAGTGGTGCTGACTCACCACAAACCCGAGAAACCTTGTGAGGCCATTGAAGATGGAAATGTGACAAATGTGTGTCCTTTAAGGGCAGTGTCCCAGGCTCTTGGACCCAAAGAGGGAATAATGGAGATCAGGGAGACCATGCAGAACTTTAGTTTCTTGAGATACCTGTTGAGGTAATGAAGATCCAAGATGGACAGGGCTCCCTTCGGCCTCTGGAATTAGGAAATACCGGGATTAAAACTCGTCCCTTCCAAGTCTTGAGGAACTTCCTCCATGGCCCATGGCCTCCATACCTAGATGGGATTACACCTCATAGACCAGGGTTTGCTTGTGAGAAAAGTGCCTGAAAAGGGATGGGGATGGGGGATGGGAGGGAAGTGCTCAGGACCCAACGGTTTGATGTTGTGAATGACCAAGCTGAAGGGCAACAACTGGCCCTAAAACAAAAGCAGAGGCAAATCTGAAATGGCGGTTGATGCAGCCTCCTCAGGCACACCTTTAAAGGGCTTGCTTGGGCCTGCCAGAGTCTCTCTGAAAGCCTGACTGGGAGACTGAGGTCGACAGGAGTGGTTGGCACCATTTATAACATCTCACTTTTCTTTTATAGGGCTCCTGTCTTGGCGGCCATGAGAGATGAGGAGGCTGATGGGGCTTGAAGTGCTTACAGGAAGCTGACAGGTAGTGGCCTAAAGTGGCCATGGAGTTCGTCAGGCTGTGCAGTCTTGTGTCTGCCCAGAGCTGTCTCATCCACAGAACAGTTGGGGGTGGCTGCCCCAGGCCATGCGCTTTGTAGAGTCCCATGGCGGCCACCTGAATCATCCTATGGATGGGGCCCAGAGCAGCCTGGGGGACCTGGCACAGGGTTGCTCCCCTCCCACTCGCTGCCGCAGAAAGCCCCGACCAAGGACCTTGGCTACCTGCCGCCCCAGGAACAGGCTGCCCCATCACTCTAGCTCCCACCGCTGTGGTGCGTGCAGGAGGAAGGACCAACCCATGCTGCCGCCCCATGCCAGGCCCCCAGGTAATCCCATGGCTTGTGTTGCTCGGGGAAGGTGGCTTTGGGCAAGGAGGCGAAGGGGAAAGAGGTGGAGCGGGGATGGAGCAGAGGCGGGGTGGGCTTGCAGCAGAGGGGTTGCCCCGGGCCCTGCACCCTCCTAGGTTGCCCCTACACAGGGACAGCCGTGTGACCATCTATGCAATAGAAGAGGTGGTCCAGAATGGATTATTTTGAGGAAAGCCGGAGGATCAGAGCCAGGAACTGACTGTCGGTGACAATGGAGGCTATTGTCCTTTTTCTCCCCGCCCACCCCAGCCGTGTCCAGTGTACCCAGGAGAGAGGTTCTGGCTACAGTCTTACCTTCTTCCAAGAGGGCAATGAACTCCTGCCTTGCCTCTGGAGGCAGGACGTTTTTGAATTTAGTCAAGCAGTCCCACAACTAAAATCATATCTGTCCAGCAAAGCTTGCTGGTTGGAGAGACACAATGGAAGGCTACCCACCTAATAAACCTTCCTTCCGGAAAAGGATGGGCCTGGACATGCCTGTCCTTATCACATGCTGTTTGTTGCTGCCGGTGACCCTGGAGAGGGATGAGTGCAGGGATCTCAAGCTGCTTCCGAGCACATAACACATCTTTTCTGCAGTCTGAGGTGGGTGCAGAGGAGAGGGAGTTCGCCACATGGCCTTGACCGGTCTCATCAGCATCTCTTTGAGGGGCAGGGCCCCCTGGATGGAGCTGCTGCAGGCAGGATCTCAGCACGGCTGTGTTATGTCTTTCTGAGCTCCTCAATTTCTAGGCCCAGCTTTACAGAGACTCGCTTCAGAAGGTCCCGATGGCCCTGAAATCACCCTGCGGAAGCAGGCTACTGGGATCCATAATGGCCTCCTCTAGAGGGGACGTGGAGGAGCCGTACATCAGAAGAGAGTCTCTTTCCTCTTCTACGTCCACTGGAGCCACCTTCTGAATGTTGGGACTGGAGCTGAGATCTGGTGCTGTGTGAGAAGGAGCTATAGCCGGTCTCTCAGAAACCATCAAGCAAGTGTGAGGGAGTCTCGAGTAACGGGGGAATCTCCCAAGGTTCAAGTAAGGTCACTGAAGCAGCCAGCGATGCACTGGCCAGGTGCCGTCCGGGGCGCCCAGCACCTAAGTCCAGTGGAGCATATGCTTGGTACCAGTGGAGGTCTTTCTTGAGGCTCCGAAGAGGAGTCTTCTTCTGGTAGTGATGATGGAGCAGTACCAGCTTGTGTCTCATATATTGCTGGAGTTGCACAGATCAGTGAAGCACAGGAGCTCAGAATGCCAGGAAGATGCCCAATCCGCCTTGCTCCCTCCTGCTTCTGGAACTGATAGGCATCCCATAGGGTTGGAAGGACTGGCAGAGAAAATAAGTCTCTAGCCACCTGGAAAGCTTCTGGGATCAATGACACCACAAAACCGCTGGCATCAAGGTGGCTTCCTGGTGTTGGAAGAGATTTCTGCACAGGACTCAATGCCCTAGGCAGAGCAGATGGTGCCACCAGAGGCCCAGAAGCAGCAGAGGTGCCTGGCATGTGTCTCACTATGATGTCTCCCCGTTTTTTACCTTGTGCACTGGTGAGCGCCCTCAGTTGGTGCACTGCTTCTTATGCTTCTTCCCTGGCACCAGACAATTGACGAATGGTGCCAGAAGAGCTCAGGGCCAGGGCAGCACTGTGCACCGATACCCAAGTACACAGCACAGAATCAGAGAAGCTTGGTTCTGAGCCTGGTCTGAAGACAGCTTTTATGAGGACAGTTGTCAGCCTGATGTCTGCCGTTTTAGTGCAGGATCTGATGTCCCAACAGATCTGGAACTCGTCCCTCATGTGGGTTCCCCCCAGGACTTCAAGCAGTAAGAGCATGGGTCACATATGGACACAGGTTTTCCACGGGAGGCACAAGGCTTGAAGCCTGGGGCCCAAGGATGCCTTGGGCAAAGAGGTTTTTCAGCGATCAGAACCATCTACTTACGCCACCTACAATATCAATACTTGCAAAGATAAGACACACAAAACTACATAACTGATAATTACGAACCAAGGAGTCCAAGAACCACTGGGAAGGAGCCTTGCTACAACATGAAGAGTTTTTCCAACCAACGCCATGGGCAGTCAGGAGGAGCTCAGAGAGCATGGGGCTGGTGGTGCCCCCTATACTGGCATGTGGCTCCAGAGCTGCTGGAGTCGGCCCAAAGGAAAAACCTCCAGCAATGGTGCAGAATGGACATGAGCAAGAAACTGTTTTTATTGACATGACACCAAACGGTTGTTGCTGAGCAAATATGACATTAAGAAGAGAAATACGTAAATCAGCTGAGTTACAAACCTTTGGAAAAGGAGGTTCAGGATTCCTTCAACATTTCTGCACATTCAGTAGGATTCCCCTGTATTAAAGAGCCCCAGGAGCGCTCACCCAACACTCCTGGAGGAGTCTCTCACCAGTTTCCTTGGCTTTGTTCCTGTCTGTGTCTGTGCTGTTTCTATCCACGTCCATGCCACCTGTTAGCTGCTTCACTGTTTCAAGCATCTCTCGCCGCTGTTCTTCTTGCGCCTGATTGTCTAGCAGCAGCTCTTTACTGCTGCTGCCCCGCAGGAAGGTGTTTGGACGTGAGACTGAAGATAGGACAGGTTTGTCATTCTTCTCCCTGCCTGTGCTTCCACGACTAGAAAGTGGGAAAAAAAAACACATTCATATGGAAGACTTTCGTCCTCTTAACTGCTAAAAATGAATACTGGCCCCATTTTCCATAACTTTGTAAAAGGCGCTGGGTAGCTGTCTCTTATACAGTCTATTGCTTACAGGAAAAATGCGAAAGTAATTGTCAATGTAAACTAGTACATTAATAAACAAAATGCAGCCTGTGGATCCCCTCATCTATAAAAATGTGGTGTGAGCCAAGTGATGAAAGCACGCACATGCACACAGGGAGGGAGAAAGGGAGCATGTGTGTTTTAGTGCACATCTGAAACAAAACAGCCCAAGGATACACCACAGCTCTGCAGGATTAAAATACAGTGACTGTGAACATTACAGTAATGGCACCATTTCACAAGGAACCTGCCTGAGTTCTCAAGCATCAGTCCTAGGAATTACGTTAACCTTTTAATAATTTTTTTGGAAACAGGTGGATGATACTGATGTGGAAAAACCCCAGATGAGGCAAAATTATTTAGGGGTGTGTCTAGACTACATTCCTCTTTCAAAAGAGGAATGCAAATGAGGGAAATCAAAAATGCAAATGAGGTGCTGATTTACAAATCTCATGCATCATTTGCATAATCGCGTCCAATTGCTTTATCGAAAAAGGTTTTTTCAAAAACAAAACAAAACAAAACAAAAGCAGTCTAGACGTGGTACTTAAAAAAAACAACCCTTTTTTGAAAGAACCCTTATTCCCAAAAAAATGAGGTTTACAGGGTTCTTTTGAAAAAGGGTTTTTTCCCCTGAAAGAACCACGTCTAGACTGCTTTTCCCCCCCAGAAAAGCGATTGGACGCGATTATGCAAATGAAACGCAAGATTTGTAAATCTGGGCTTCATTTGCATTTCGATTTCTCTCATTTGCATTCCTCTTTCGAAAGAGGAATGTAGTCTAGACGCACCGTAGGACAGTGAAAATAAGAGCTGAGGGAATTTCAGAGGGACTCAGGTGAATGGGCAGCCTGAGGGCAGATGAAATTCGCTGAAAAATGCAAAGTTATGCACTTTAGAAGGAAAAACTGATGAACTTTATGTTACTAGTACATTAATAAACAGATTACAATACATTAATAAATGATTAATAAATGCTATAAGCACATTACCGGAATGAATAGCTAGTTATAAGCATAATGGTAGAAAATGTCATACTTGAGCAACCTACAGAAATCTAACCTTCTACAAAAAATTACCATTTGTAAAATCCTACCTTAATTTATTAACCTTTCGTAAACTATTTATAAATGCACCTTCAAATAAAGTGTGACCTTTGGAACAAATGACATAACCCAGGAGGGTTCTAAATTAACACTGGCCACGCAGGAAAGAGAGGCAGATCAATGGTCACCTCTTCTCTATGGGACTGAAAGTAGCAAATCAAGGTTAAGGTGCATAAATATGGGAATGGCAACTTCAGGGCTGATGGACTCTTACCTAGTTAAGGCCCTGCGAGACTCTAATTCTGAGGATACAGAAGAAGACCCAGATGACACTGGGGGCTGCAGTGCAGAGAATCTGTTCAAACTAGTGGCACTTGGTCGTAAGGACTCTGCAAGAGAATGCAAAAGGAGATGTAGGGAAGGGTGATAACACTGGATTATCAAGGACACGGTGCCATAAAATAATTTAAACGTTTTTCTATTTCCCAGAGTCGATAGTGTGGAAACTGAGGCAAAATGGCTGGCTTGACTCCAGTTTATTCTTGCGTCTCATGATCATTTTGGCATGCAGGGCTCATTCATGACTTTCTGGCTTTTTCTGACTCCGAACACATGCCTGGTTCTCTCTCGTGGCTGCACTACCACAATGAATTATTTATTGTGTATAATGTCGGGACGCCCAGATCTTTTGGGATCAGCATGGTGCATTCTCCATCCCTCTCCATTAACATTCGAAGGTGGAAACTCCGGAAAACCAGAGAACTGCTGTGAGGTTTGGAGGTTCATTCTCAGCCAGGGTTCAGAGGCTCAAGGAGGCCCTATCAGCTGGATGCTAATGAAATGCAGCTGAGCCTGTTCAGCCAGAATGTGTTTTTAAAAACGGCTGTGACCCTTGGAGGGAGAGCAACTAAGGAGATGATGCTGAGCTGAAGCCAGAGCAGGGCGGTCAGAAGGAAGCGTGCTGCTGCCCTGTACCCTTTCTGGAGTTCTTTGCCATGTGTTGTCCCTTTGGGTATTCGCTAGGGGTGTACATGCACCTGAGACTGGAAATTCTTTACCAGCAGTGTCCATTGGCCTGCACTCATGCACTGCGCTTCCTCATGCTGTGAGCCGAAGGCTTATGTGGAGACACAGACCACACGCCCTTCGGTTCCTACCCTACCACAGAGCCAAAGCACATGGGAAGGAGGGTGCGTCATGAATACCCATGGAAAGCAGACATCTCAGAGAACTCCACGGCTGGGCCCTATGGTTATTCACTGTGGGTGACTCCAAGCAGTGCTTTTTTAGGAGGGGGGTGCAAGTAAGAGTAGAGATATGGACTATGTGGAGAATACCAGTGCTCCCTAGGGGGTAGATATCCCTAGGGGGATTCTGTAAATGGGAGGGACTCCATGAAATCCTGGAAGTCCTATCAGTATTAGGGTGTTGCGGGGAGACCCCATATGGGAGCTAGGGACTGGAGTATGGTAGATGGATGTTATTTTGATGTCCTGCATTAACACCACTTCCATCATGATTGGGAACCCCAATCCATGTAGATAGCCAGATGCTGCATAAGGGGGTATCTCCGTTTCCCCAGAAAAAGGCAGGCTGGCATCTTTAGTGTTGGGGTAAATGGCATCAGCTTAGGTGCACAATGTAGTATCACCGGTGTAGAGGGAGGTATCTGTTTGTGCTGCTCAGCTAAAGGTCCTGGTACTTTTGGTGCCTTCTTGATCTCACAGTAAGCTCCCGGGGAACTGGACCCATGATCACAGTATGATGCCTCACTTGAACCCAAGGGAAAGGAATGGGATTGCTCTCTTCTCTCTAGATTGGTGGGCAGACATCTGGGCTCTCTTGTGCTTCTCTTTCCCCTGGTCATGCCTTCCCTTAGTGCAGTCTTTTGGCTTCGAGGGATGCCAGTGGAGAACTACTTGGCAGTTCCAGTCTTGAGTTGGAGAACACAAGAGCCTGAATCTGACCTAAACCTCATGGCTAGCTCCACAAGGTGTCAGCGGTACCAGAACTCTCAAGTCTGCCTGACAGGAGGGGGAAACGAGTGGCAAATCCCATATATATGCCTCCATTAGTTAGCAGAGGTAGACGTCAGGAGTCTTGACACCAGGAAGATGTGGGGACAGGTGAGGCAAGGTCTGAAGTGAGACCCCTGACCAGTGTTGGAGAGAGACAGGGTGGGGAAGGAAGCTCCTTTAAATCTCTACGAATTAAACTAGACAGACTGTGAGCAACAGAAGAGGAACAAAAGGGACGATCAGTCCATGTGACTACTCATGTCCCTGGTTTGAAGCATGAGACGGTGTACTACAGAGCTAAAGACCAATAGATTACTATTGAAGTATTTCTGGTCCTGGGAGCATGGAGTATATGTGCCCCTATAGTGAATACCCATATGGATCGGCACTTCAATAACTTACATCAAAATTGCTTGTTTGGATCAACATGGAAGAGGAGTTACTTACCTATAAGTGGAAGTTCTTTGAGATGTGTGGTTCCTATCTGTATTCCACTGCGGGTAATACGTATACACCATGTATCTGGAGCCAGAGAATTGCACGCACCCTTTCTCTGCCTCATGGTTTTCTCTGAGGCATTAAAAGGCAAGACAGACTGACCGTGCCCTCAATTCCTTCTCCACTGCAAATCAAACAGATCCAGAGGGGAAGGAGGGTGAGATTGGAACACAGATAGGAACACACATCTTAAAAAGCCTCCAGTTACAGGTAAGTAAGCTCCTCTTCTTCGCGTGATGGTCCCTATTGTATTCCACTGAGGGTGATCAACAAGAGTCCTAAAACCAAGGCATAATGAGCAGTGCAGTTATGTACTCAGCTGCACATCCTACATATGTCACAAAGGGATACATCATGAAGTGTTGTTGTAGTTCATGTTTGCACTGTTGTGGAATGGGCTCAAGGTATAGAGACAGTCTCAATGGCAGAGAGTAGAGCGTAACGCACCCTGAAATCCAATTAGCTATCCTATGTGGAAATCGCCTGTCCTGTAATCGTTTCAGTTACCGTGATAAGCAGTCTAGGGACCTGCTGAAGGCCAAGGCCCAGTGGAAATAAACAGAGTGATGGCTCCACTCCTTTGTTTAGGAGGGAGGCTTCGGAAAGAAAGCATACGGGTTGGCTGAGATAAAAGCAATAGAGGACCTTTGCAAATACAGAGAAACTTTGTCCTTATGGAATGGTAAAAGGATGGAGGGTTCCCCATCGTGACCCCCAGCAGGCCTATCAGTGCAACCTCTTCTCAAAGAAGAGAGAGGGAGCATGAGGCCAAAGTTTTGAAGGGTGAATTCATTAATGCTGAAAGGACAAGAGTCCCATTGGAGGGGTGATAAGTCGAACAGATGGATCAGTCCGAAGAAGCTTTTCCAAAATCTACTCTTCAGTGGATGTGTAATTAAAGAATGCCCGTGCATGAAGAGGGAGGGGATGGTGGAAAGCACAAATAGTCACTATGTTCAGTCTGATGCAATTGAAAGCGAGTCCTGACACTTTCAGGGATAGAAGATAATTCAACAGAAGGGAACAGGAACTGAAGCTGAATAGAAACGCCGTGTGGACTCTCTCCTGCTATTCTAAAGGATGTCTGGTCCTCCTGAGAACTGTCCCGTCTAGTGAAGATGCAACCCTAAAAGCAAGCTTGGCGGTAGAGAGCCTGTGGATAGGGATGCCTAATCTTGACACTTTGTTGAGTGTGCAGCTCCAGGAATGTTGGCAATGGAAATGGGGGACACAATGACATGCAGAAAAAAAAGGTGAAACCAGAAATGGCCAGGGCAAACTGGGGCAATTAGAATAACTGTGGTCCTCTCCCATGTGACCTTGTGGGGGACACACAGCAGAAGCAGGAGGGATAAAGGTGTAATTGGTCTGGTTTCCAAAGCAAGTGATAAGAGCATAACCTTGGGAATGGGTGCCAAGCTCACTCTGCAGCAGCACCTAATGCATTTGTGGTTGACGTGGAAGGCAAAGAGAATGGTAGTTGGACACCCCCATTGGGAGAAAACGTCACGGTCTATGGTGACATATCACACTTCTGGCTGACCCTCAATTTCCCGCTCAGAAAGTCTGCAATCATGTTCTGAGTAGAGATGTAAAATCCTATTTAATTGGTTAAATGGTTAAACGCAGCACTAACACTACATTTAACTGATTAAGGGGGGTTGGGCGGGGAGGTCGCTCCAATGGAGCTGGAGCAGTCCTCCTGTCTGCTAGGGCAGAGCTAGAGTGGCTGCTCCCAGTCCCATCAGTAGCCCCGCACTGGGAACCAGCACCGCGGGGAGGGGGCTACTCCCAGGTACTGGTTAATCATTTAACCGGTTACCCATTAATATCCCTAGTACTGAGTCCCCCAGAGATAGGCAGCTGACGACAGGCTCTTGTGGGCAATGCACCGCCAATCCCATAAACAAACTGCTTCCGCACAAAGCACATGCCCCTTTGTTGATGTAATCAATGATGGTGTTGTCTATCGTGATAAGAACATAAGGGAGTGAATGGATGAGCAAAATGCACGGCACATCCTCTGTAGCACCTGAAGTTCCAGAATATTGACCTGCATGCTGGATTCCCAAGCAGCCCAAGTCCCCACGTGGGGTGCCCCATCTGGCGAGTGATGTGTCAGTGCTGATCATGGTACTTGGGAAGGACAGGAGGAATGGTATCCTGGTGCAAACCAGATGTGGGTCTGACCAGAAGTGGAGAGAGGGGAGTGCTTCTGGGAGAACTGTCAACAGGAGATTCATGGTATGTAGCAAGGGAGAAGAGATCCTTTGGAACCACGGCTGCAGGCAGCAAAGATGGAGATGCATGAAGGTGGTAACATATATGCAAGCCACCATGTGGCTAAGGAGAGAAAGGCAAGTGTGGACCACAACAAAAGGCCTTTTGACCATCTTAGCAAACAACTGTTGGAATTAGTCCCTTCCTTGGTAGGTAGGCTTGTGTTGAGATCACATTGGTGTGGGCCCCTATGAATTCTACTGACTGCGGGATCCAAAGTTCATTTTTCAACATTATGCTCACTCTCAGGGAGGAGAGGAGTCTGAACAGAACTGAGGCTTGATCCTTCATTTTGGATTATGCTACAAGCTGCCAGCCACTGAGGTACGGGACTATAAGGACTCCCTGATATTGGAGATGGGCCACCACAACAGAGAAAAATTTGCTGAAGACTCATGGAGCAGAGGTGAATCCAAATGGTAAGATACTGTGGGGATGACCTAATGTGAATCTGAGGCAACTTCTGTGGGTTGGATGGGTGTCTTCATGAAACAGGTATCCTGCCTACTGAGGATCTTAAACCACATGCCTTTTTCCATGAGGATGTAACAGCTGCTAGGGTGACCATACAAAACTTGGGCTTGCCAATGAAT